TACCATTTAAAAAAAATGGGAAAAGACTTGAACAGACACTCTATAAAACTATAGAAATGGCAACACACATAAAAATGTGGCCAACATCTTTAGTCTTCTCAGAAATGCATATCCTATATAATAAAAGCATAGTATGCAAATTGTCCCCTTGACCAGAGTTCTTCTGGGAGTTGGACCAGGGGGTAGCCAACTGGGGGGAGGGAAGGAGTACCCGGCCGGCAGCTGGCAGCTGCTAGGGACCCTACCAGTGCAAGAATTTTGCGCACTGGGCCTCTAGTTTAAACCATAATGAGCCCTAGTCAGTGTGGCTCAGTTGGTTGAGCGTTGTCCTGTGCGTGGATCAAAAGGTCATGTGTTCTATTCCCAGTCAGGGCACACACCCAGGTTTCAGGTTTGATCACTGGTTGAGGTGCCTATAGGAGGCAACTTGTCAATGTTTCTCACTCACATTGATACTTTTCTCTCTCCCTCTTCTTCTCTCTCTCAAATCAATAAAAATAACCATACTTAAATCATAATGAGATGACATCTCACTCCCTTCAAAATAGCTGAAAATGGGAAAGACTGGCAATCCTGATGAGGATGGAGAAGCTAAACTCTCATGGGTTGTTGATTGGAGAGGAAATGGTGCAACCATTTTGAAAAACCATTGGGCAGAAACCTGCCCTTTAGCCCAGCAATTGCATGCCTGGGGAAATATGTCCACAAAAAGACTGGTCCATGAATGTTTATATCAGCTTTATTCATAATAAGTCCAAACTGGAAACAACCCAAATATTTATCAGGAAGAGATTGGACAAACTGTGGGATAGTCATAGGTGGCAAACGGCTCAGTCCTAAAAAAGAAGGAACTGCCAAAAAGCAGGATGACTTATTTGCATGAAAGAACGCAGACAGAAAAGAGCACATCCTTACAATTCCCCGTAAGTCAGGAACCGACAAGGCTGGAGATGGTAATAAAAGAGAGCAGTGGTTTCCTGTGGCGGTGGGATGCTCTGAAAAGGGACCTGAGGACACTTTCTGGAGGTGATGGGGACATTCTGTAATTTTAATTGGCACTATTGTTGCCAGTTCTGTTGACCAGAACTCATGCACTTAAGCTCTGTGCACTGCACTCTATGTCAATTTTATCTCAATGATATCCTATATAATAAAAGGCTAATATGCACATCGACTGAATGGCAGTACAACTGGTCACTATGACATGCACTGACCACCAGGGGGCAGAGGTTCAACGCAGGAGCTGCCTGCTGGTGGTCAGTGCACTCCCACAGGGGGAGTGCCGCTCAGCCAGAAGCCAGGCTCATGGCTGGCGAGCACAGTGGTGGTGGCAGGAGCCTCCCCTGTCTCTGTGGCAGCACTAGGATGTCTGATTGATGGCTTACTCCCACTCCCCACGAGACATCCCCCAAGGGCTCCTGGATTGTGAGAGGGCGCAGGCCAGGCTGAGGGACCTCCCCCACCACTAAGTGCAAGAATTTTGTGTACCGGGCCTCTAGTTATTAATAATATTAACACCACCATAGTGTCTGATGTTTGATGCAGAGGAAGCAGGAATGCCAGTGGAGAGGCTGTCAGCTGATGGTGGGAGATGCAGGAAGGGTCCAGCTGGGGCTCTGCTCTGGAGGGAGGTTCAGAACTCGTTAGCCCAGAAGCAAGGGTCTCTTTCAACCAGGATCAGTGAGTCCATAAACCCATTTATTTATTTTATTTGCACATTCTAGTCTGATGCCTTCTCTTTCTAAAATAATTTGGGGCTAACTATAGCAAAGGGCTTGTACTTAATAAAACTGAGAAGACATAACTAAAATAAAAAATCGAAGGCAGCCCTAACCCGTTTGGCTCAGTGGATAGAGCATCGGCCTGCGGACTCAAGGGTCCCGGGTTTGATTCTGGTCAAGGGGGTCAAGGGCATGTACCTTGGTTGCGGGCACATCCCCAGTGGGGAGTGTTCAGGAGGCAGCTGATCGATGTTTCTCTCTCATCGATGTTTCTAACTCTCTATCCCTCTCCCTTCCTCTCCGTAAAAAATTAATAAAATATATTTTTTAAAAAATCGAAGGCAAAAGAAGCAAATATGTCTGTTTGGGGACTGATATGAGAAAGCTAAGATCAGGAATCTGCCCAGTCTCCTTGGCTGGCACCTACCAGGGGCTGCTGGTGGGTTGCCAGGGGCAGCGAGGGTCTTTTACCATCAGAGGAATGACAGGTCAGATGATAGACTCTGCAGTGCTGTATCAAGCTGACGTTAGTGGAAGAAGAATATATCTGCCTTTTAGAGCCCCTCTGGGACTTATAAAACTAAAAATATGCATTTTTGTAGAATTTGATCTGTGACAGACTATTATGCCATAAAGGTCTAGATCATCAAGGGCTCTACAAAGAAATGGGGGCTGTTTTAGGGAAAACAACCTGCCTTTTGTTTGAGACTGAATTTAATAAGCAGAAATGTAAATAGTGTGGGGTGTAATTTAGGATACACTCTGAGCCTAAGTATATTCCCCATGCACTTATGGAACCATCACCACTTAAAATCACTACAAACTAACATTCTGATATGGGCATTGAGCATGGTTTGAATATATCAAGTCTAAATGAAGGCAGCTATTGACACAGAAATACTGTGGAAGTGTATGCTAAAATACACATCATTTATTGATTGATCATTATCCGTACAGACAATTTATTATGTGGCCAAATGATAGCCCCCTTGTCCATATTAGACATTCCTTAATTAATAACAATGAACAGATCAGAAATTATTAAAGAACGGAGAGGATTTATTTGTGGGGAAGATGTTAAAAATAAATGCCAGCAGGGCAGTCAATCAAATTAAGCCTAGTCTTAGTTCTGGAACTTCTGCTTGACTCTGGAAGGGGACCAAACTGAAGGCGTGCTTAAGTCAACATCAGAGGATCATTGGCAAACTCCTGTTGGCATTACCCATCGGCTCTAATAGCAAAGATCGCCATCTCGTGCAGAGACCGGAGAAGGAAAGTAAGCGTCAGAAACAATTTATATGCCCCAAGAAGGCTCAATTCGGGGTTGAAGCTTTAGCAAATATGATTGCAATTTATTTCAAACTGGTGGGTAACGTGACCCAAATGGATACCACTAATGACAAGGTCATACTCCTCCATCAACAGTAGAAATGGAGAGAACGAAATGTGAAGAAAACTATGACCGGTTGGAGGTTTTGCGGGATTTGCTTACTCATGGAGGTTTAAGTTGGCAGTAGCTGAGGGGTGCTGTAAGGGGAGGAAGGGCTTGCTGCCACCATGCGGGGTAGGGTGACGTTCAGGAAGATCACCTGGTCACAGGAACGTGTTGATGTCAGGTGCTCAATGGAGTATGAAGTAGGGATGCACCGGTGACAAAGGTTGGTCCCCAGAGTCCAGGTTTCCTCCAGCTTAACCACACCACGAGGGGCAGTAAAGGGGGCGGGGGGCCGGGCAAGACATTCGTGAGGAATCTGAAGATCTGGTTTCGGGCCCTTGTTGTGCCACTTACTGGGTGACTGGTTGGACAAGTCTTGTGACCTCTCTGAGTGTAGACATTTCCATCTGTTACATGGGGTCGGTGCCTCCTGTCCTGCTTAGCCTCCGTGGAGGGTTGTTGTGAGCATCAGGGGGACAGAGGACACATGGGCCCTTCGAAAAGGCCTGCAAAGATCTTCTCCAGCTGTTTTTTTATTATTTGGTGGTAACTAGCTTTCCAGTGGGAGCCGGAGCTGGAGCCAGTGCCATGCGATGGTTAATACTAGAGCCTGGAGATATTTTAGGAAATAATCAATACAAGATGCACTGGGTTGGAGCCACGATAAGACTAATAAGTCTTGACAGTGTGCTGTTTGATAGAATTAATAATTCTTGAGAGAAACATTGTAAAAACCTACAGGAGGGGAAAGCAAAGTGCAGTTGGGGAGAGAGCTTTAACCCATGTGGAAACTTGAGAACCATCCACGGAAAGTCAGCTCTCATCCTGCTGCCGTGGGCAGGTTACACACATGTGTACACACATGTGCACACATGCACACCCCACACAGTGCATATACAATGCATGTACAAGGAAGATGAGGAGTAATTTTAACAATGGGTCAGGGGCCCCCCACCGTCTAAGGCATCGGTTCTCAACCTGTGGGTCGCGACCCCTTTGCGGGTCAAACGACCCTTTCACAGGGGTCGCCTAAGACCATCAAAAAACACATATATAATTACATATTGTTTTTGTGATTAATCACTATGTTTTAATTATGTTCAATTTGTAACAATGAAATTGGGGGTCACCACAACATGAGGAACTGTATTAATGGGTCGTGGCATTAGGAAGGTTGAGAATCACTGTTCTAAGGAAATGCCCTGCCTCTGAAATTTTAAGGCAAAGCAGCAACAATGGTTTGCGCTGTCCCACTTCTCGCTGGAGGAGAAGGGAGCACGCTCATGTTGTGGCTGTTGTGTTCAGCCAGTGAGAGAGGGCAGTGAGGGGGCGGGGTTTACTCGGTAAATGAGCAAAGCCTGAGATGATCTAGGTTAGACAGGAAAGTAAAGAATATTGCTCTTCCTGTGTCCTCAACCTTCCACTCCGCAGTCTTTATCAAGACTGACCCTGGATTGGAGCCAGGCGTTCCGGCTGGCCAGAGGCCAGTGCACAGGCTGCAGGCAGGACTGCGGGGCTGGGCAGCGCCTGGGGCAAACCTGCTAAGGCAGCTCGAGGACCGAGGGAATCTGTCGGGAGCCTGGCCACAGGCAGACACAGCTGACCTTCTATTGTGTAAGAACATCATCCTGAAGCACTTCTATATGGTCAGCGGCCAGACAGTCACAGAGGGAAGAATAAAAACATTTACGTCTGTAGGATGATGGGGTTAATGTTCATTTAAAAAGTGCTCTGACTATGTTGCACTTTTGTTATAAAAGTACATATGTTTTTTATATAACTGTTAATCCATAAGTTCAGCAAACCATAAGGAAACCTTGACATTGGGCCTGTCCTGTTTCCAGGCAGAGAAAACAAAGAATTGTGTCAGTCGAAGCCCTGTCATAGGAGAAGTGCTCTCCACAGCGGACATGGCCACCGCAGTAACAGTGAGAGGGACTGGGCACCGCCCCCACGAACTGACACTTGGTTTTGAATGACAAGGGATTCCTGCAGCTATCAGTCTATTCATGGGAACAGATTTTTGTAAAATGTACAGCTTATAACCCATCCCCCACCCTCTTCTTTACTCATTGCGTTCAATCCTGTATTTGTGTTTTCTTTGCTTTTCCTTTTGTTGGGTTTTATTGCATTGAGTCAATCAAATATTTGTATTTGTTTAGTTTTATAAAAACCATATCAATCACTTGTGATTTTCTTTTCTTCACTTAACTATCATCACTGATGGATCCATATGGTTGCATGCCACTGCATTCATATTTATCTCTTAAAATCTTTTTTTTTTGGACTAGTAATGCTCACAGGAAACTACAAAAGTAGCACCTAGAGTCATAAGAACTCTTCACCCGGGTTCCATCGGTGGTGACGCCATACGTCGTGTAATGCAGTATGAAACCAGGAAGTCAGCACTGCCGCAGTGTGATCGCTGTGCCAGATCTTGTTCAGATCCATAGCTTTCCACACACTCGAGTGTGTGTGTGTGTGTGTGTGTGTGTGTGTGTGTGTGTGTTGTTGTTGTTGTTCTGTGCAGTTTGGTTCCATACACAGATTCGAGCAGCCACCATCACAATCAAGATAGGGAACTGGCCTTAGCCGGTTGTTCAGTGGTTAGCGCATCAGCCCCCAGACTGAAGGGTCATGGGTTCGATTCAGGTCAAGGAGGGCACATGCCTTGGTTGCAGGCTCGATCCCTGGGCATGTGTGGGAGGCAACTAGTCGATGTGTCTTTCTCACATCGATGATGTTTCTCTCTCTATCTCCCCCCCCCTCCCTTCCACTCTCTACAAATCAATGGAAAAATATCCTTGGGGGAGGATTAACAACAAAAAGGATAGAGGACTGTTTCATCATCCCAGACATGCACAGTGCTACCCATTTGCAGTTGCCTCCAACCCCCGCCATCCTGTTTTTTGGCAACCTCTAATCTGTTCTCTGTCTCTGTAGTTTTTCCATTTTGAGAATGATACACAATGGAAGTTTGTTCACTTTTGACTGCTGTATTGTATTCCTTTGTGTGGATACGCCCAGCACCGGGAAGTCTTAGACTTCTGCATTTTGCTGACCAAAAGGGTATAAAATGGCACTGTGCCATTGGCTTGCTTTGTGTGTCCCAGCTCACCAAAGATGGTGAATGAGTGGCTTGAAGGGCATGCCTGCTGTGGCCCCTCACGGTGCCCCAAGTCCCCAGAAGAGGGTCATTCATGTGGCCCTGCATATATCTTTCCCTCCGTGGACGCCCCTGGGCCTCAGAATTAGTCTCTGCATCCACGCCTCAGTCTGATGTTCCCACAGCAGGAATTAAACTAGAGTAGGATGCCAGAATGACCAGACAGGAAGGCCTGTGGATCAGTGGTGAGTCCAAGCTGGCAGTTACTTCTGTTCTGCAGTGTAGTCGTCAAAAATATGTAGGAACTAAAATCAAAGAAATTAATGAGTGCCCACTGGGGTGACGGCACCCACCAGGAGGTCCTTCCGGAGAGACCGGCCTCCCTGGGACTTGAGCCAGTCAGGGTCTCTTCCCTTCTGGATGCATCGGCTGTGGCTCCAGAGAGAAGAAATTCAGCTGAGATGCACCAGATGGACCCCCCTTTCAGAAACAATGGAGGACCCTGGTCTACACTCAGGGTCCATATCGCCTCTCCACCTGCCTTCTCTTCAGCCAGGTCTGGTGGAGTGTGACCTGGGAAACCTCCACGGGTGTCCCTGAATTGTGGGCGGGGCCCTCTTGGAATCTCCAGGGTCCGGCATTGAGCCTGGTGCATTGAGTCCTGCAGGGAATGTCTGACTGAATGGGGGGAGGCAGCCTACGGTCCAAGCAATTGGGCGGAATGTCCCTCAAGTTTGAAATATTTCTCAATCAAAAGCTTTTTAAGAAGTTGTTCTCTTGAATATCCTGGACAAAAATCTGAGTAGATTTAGAGAAATAGATATTTTAAAATGCTTCTCTGATCACTGTGCTGCTTAAAACCCCTTCCTGGCGCTGGAGGGACAGATGCAGGGTGCTGGGAGCAGTGCCTGGGAGCTCTGGGGTAGGCAGGGCGTCCCCACATCTCCCTGCCAGCCCAGAACCGCTGGTGGCCTCTGCCTGCTTCCTTTTACCTTCCCCTGAGCTGGCTGTTTACCTGAGCAGGGGCGTCAGCATCAGTTCATCTCATCATCCGTGCCCACAGGCTGGGCCTTCTTTTCCCTCCATGTCTGCTACCCACAGACTCGGGTGTCCCTGAGCGCTTTGGACAAACACTGTTGTGCTCACACAGCCAAGTGCTGGCCCGCCAGGTTGGCTCGGCAAACAGCTCACAGTGAGGGGCAGGAACGAGAGAGGTGCCAGGGAAGCCTGTCATCCTCACTTAGCTTAGCTTCCTCCCACGACTGGTCCCTTCCTTACTTGAGTCACCTTACTATCAATCTTAGTTTGCCTGGACTGCGATGATAAAATACTATAGATCAGTGGCTTAAATAATACAAATTTATCTTCTCGCCATTCTGTAGGCTGGAAATCCAAGATCAGAGCCAGCAGGTCCAGTCCCTGGGTAGGACCCTCTTCCTGCAGATGGCTGCCTCCTCCTTGCGTCCTCACAAGAGGGTTGATGGTGGGAGAGAGAGAGAAAGAGGGAGGGAGGCTGGGAGGGAGTGCGCGAGAGAAATAGCTCTCAGATATCTCTTCTAGGAACACCGATTCCATGGTGAGGGCGCCGCCCTCATGACCTCATCTAAGCCTAATGAGTTCCCAAAGGGTCCATATCCTAATACCACTGCACTGGGGATTAAGGCTTCAGCATATGCATTTGGGGGGATACAGTTCAGTCCATAGCACTGTCCTGTCTGGGGTCACCACTGTCTCAAACAGCGCCTGCGTGCCTCAGTGTATCCCCTTGGCTCTTGGAATGAAAGCGCCCAGATGCTCACAAAGGCTTTTTGGGAGACCTGCATTTATTGTTGTGTGGGAGGGGCCTGGCCTGCCACAGCCCGGTGCTGGTGGCTTCCTGGCCCACACGACAGACCACTGGTCCGTGGCAGCAGGGAGACCAATGACCTGGCGCACGTCCAGTCTCTGAGGTTTAGTCCCAGGTCTGGCGTGTTCCCTCTACATCTGAGGTCATGCTGAGTGGGCTGAGTGGCCTTAGTTTCTCTCCCATGAAGACGGCACTGCCAGTGCCCACCAGTAGGCTGTGTTCAGATGGGAGCTGGTGACACCTGTGATATGCTCCATGTCAGGCCTGGGTGCGTGCTGGGGCTGTGACCCTTGAGATGTGGCCTGAGCCCTTCCCAGCACTCTCCAGGGAGTGGCTCACTTAGTAGACTGAGGTGGGATCAGCCTGCACCCCAGCTCTCACCCAGCTTTCCCTGCTATCATGGGTCGTCGCTCTATCTAGTCCCCATCTAAAGCTTAGAGGCCCAGGCAGGGGACCCCCTCCTTCTCCCTCCATCAGCAATACTTTCCCCGGGTTTACAAAAGACCAGATGAAGTCTTGGCTGCTGACTCTCACCGAATCCTTGCAGCAGCTTCATGAAATGCTGTTAGATGCCAGGCAGGTTGGGGTTGAACCCCAGCCCTGCCATTTCCTCCGACACAGGCCTGCCAGGTCACTTGCCTCTCCTGAACCTTGGGGTCCTCATCTGACAAGCAGGGTGATGCTTTCTTCTCTGAGTTGTCATGAGAACCAATGACCTCATGTGAATGGAGCTCAGTGCCTGGAAGGCGTGGGCGCTCACTAGTTGGGGTGCTCATCATTCACTCCATTGTCGATGGGGAATGAGGGCTTCTGTGCCATTTGTCCCAGGCCCCACAGCAGGGGGAGCGGCGCGGGGGTCCTACACAGCCAGCTTGGTCGCCTTCCTGTTGCTTGGTTGCCTGTTTTTCATCCCAGGCCTCGAGAGCCGGACCCTGAGCACACAGGCAGAATGAACGTTCAAGACAGTCATTTGATGGGGTGAACAGGGCTGCCCGGGACGGAGGGCTGACTCTCTGTGGTGTTGGAGAGGCCTCCCTCTCGAGTGAACTGTGAGCTACGTCTGCGGAGAGGAACTGGAGTCTGACAGGGGTGAAGGGGTGGGCATGGCGTTTGACCAGGGGGCTAGCTGTCACTCAGTCGTTGGCTTTTGCTCACAGTGGCCTGTGATGTCCTTGTTTCCAGTGTGGAATAATTTATTGGCTATTTGGTGGTGCGGTCAGGAATCTCAGAAGCCCAGCACATATAACTAAGTGGCTTCAGCCACTCCAGGTAAGGCATGTATCTCAATGATGTCTTCTTTTATGGAGAGCCTTAAAAATTCACAGTGGCTAGTGTGTGTGTGTGTGTGTGTGTGTGTGTGTGTGTGTGTGTGTTTCATGCTCATGCAGAAAAAATGAAACAGGATTGGTTCAGCCAGAACTTTGTTTGGAATGAGAATTTCTCACTCTCTTTTTTTGTCTTGCATTGAGCCTGTCATATTCTTAACATCACATTAGCTGTCACCAGATGGATTGTAATTTTTTCACATGTTTTATTGATTTTTTACAGAGAGGAAGGGAGAGGGATAGAGAGTTAGAAACATTGATGAGAGAGAAACATTGATCAGCTGCCTCATTCACAACCCCTACTGGGGATGTGCCCACAACCAAGGTACATGCCCTTGACTGGAATCGAACTTGGGACCCTTCAGTCCGCAGGCTGACGCTCTATCCACTGAGCCAAACTGGTCAGGGCTGTAACTTTTTAAAATATGTTTTTATTGATTTCAGAGAGGAAGGGAGAGGAAGAGAGAGACAGAAACACCATTGATGAGGGATCCAACCCGCAACCCAGGCATGTGCCCTGACCTGGAATTGAACCGTGACCTCCTGGTTCATAGGTCAATTCTCAACCACTGAATCACACCAGCTGGACTGGATTATAATTTTTTATAATTATTTCCAACTCATCTCTTCCTCTCTCATCAGCATTCCTAATGATCGGAGAGGTCTGTAGTTAGATAGTCAGAGTGGCCACCTGAGCAGCTAACCCCCTTCTAACATCTGGTTAACTCCAGGAGCAGAAATACACTGGGATGTTTGCAATGACTAAGAGGGGCCATGGGAGCAACTTGAGAGGGATCCAGACCGAAGCCACTTGTGACCTCACTGCACAGGCGAGGATTCTTTCCCTTGTTGTGTGGTTCCGGGCAGTAGGTCACCTGCAGAAAACCAGCCTCTCTCTCTGACCGAGCCCAACTTCACACCCTCTGGCTATACCCTCTGGCATGAGGTGCTCTGACTCACAGCAGTCATCTAAGTGCTTCAGTGGAGGTGGACATGTGCTAATACCAGTCATCACACAGCACCTATTATGTGCTGTGTCCACCTCCATGTGTCTAATACCAGTACCACACAGCACCTACCATGTGCTGTGCTCAGCTCCATGAGTCTAATACCAGCCAGTGCTTACACAGCACCTACCATGTGGTGGGTACTGTTCTAAGCACCTTCCATGCACTCAGTAAATAATGCCCGTGACAACTCTATGAGAAAAGTGCCAAAGCTGCGTGGGTGTCCTTTCTCCCAATAGCGGGTTAGTGATGGGATGTCATTGTTGGTACTCTCCAGCGCACTGTGCGGGAGGAGGGCATTGTCCGTGCTGTGTCTCCCTCACCTGGAGCCAGGTCCTCGGTGCTGGCATTGTGCCATGTTCTTATTCGTTACCTGCCCAAAAATCCATAGGACAACCAGAGCCAACATTTCACATCGTACCTTTCCTATGTTTACTACATGTGATGAACTCCAAGAGTTTCCCTCCCCTTCTCGTTAATTAAAAGTTGCTTGAGATGCAGACCCTCTCTATTGATATTTCCACTGTGGGTCACAACTGGCCACGTGCAACCCTGCTCTGCAGATCCCCACCCCCCATTCTTTAGCTCCTACTCCCCCTGAATAAAGAAAACAGATGTGTACTTATTTCACTTTTTGTTATAGTTTCTTGTTTGATATTGGGTACCAAGGAGAACTACAAAGGAACAAACACATTTCGAAGTTCTTTCTAGGAATGAGTTTGTGTACATGTACGTATGCAAGCCTGCGCATGAGTATGGTTGTGGCCTGTGCATCTGTGTGTGGCTGGTCGACCAGGTCTTCATTTTTGCTGAGTTTGAACTTTAGAGCCTGGGCTTTTGTAAGTAGGTTTTCCTGACCCACAAAGGCTAGCTGCTCAGTGTTGGGAAAGACAGGTTCAGGTGAGGGCTGTGTTGGAGGGTGCCTGCCTTTCCTCCTGGTGCTGGTTGTCTTAAGCAGCCAGTGATGTCTGCCGCAACCTTTTGCAGTGAGTGTTGAGGATCTGAAGAAGGGGCCGTGCACAAATGAAAACACTAGATGAGAAATATGAGTTTAGAAGACATGGGAAGGCCAGGTGGAAACCTCTCTCTAGAGGAGAAGCTCACTTCTGGCCGGTCTGCTTTTTGTTTACTTGAATGCACATTTGTCCTTAGCAATGCAAACAGGCATATCAACAAAGTTTGGTAAACAGTAAAAGGATTATCAGGTTAGGAAACTGCCTTCAGCCATTGAGGCCACAGCAGGGCAATATTATGCTGATTTTCAGCCTTGCTGAGTATCAAAGTGCATTGGCCTTCCAATGGGTCTTTTTGCATTAATGCTAACTACTGTTGGTTTTAGCCTCCGGCAGATGTCCAAGGTCATGATAACAGCAACAGTGAGGACTGCCCTTTAGTGAAGGCTCGCTTCGAGCTCAGCTCCATGTCAGACACCCTCTGCATCGTGTACTGTATCCCCTCATAGCCCGTGAACTGTCAGCGAGCTGCTTCCGTTCATTGAGCACGTGTGTGCTGGGCACAGGCTCAACCCTCTACCTGCCACATTGTTAAATGTTCTATACCTACAGGAAGGTATCACTGTCCCTATTTTACAGGTGGAGAAACTGCGCTCACAGGGGTCAAGAAACTGATTCTGGCTGTGCAGTTCACGAGCAAGTCTCAGGTTCTAGTGTGATCATCCCTCATAGCTTCGCTTTCCTGCTAAGAGATGGGGGCTGACATCTTGTGGGTTTGGGTTGACCAACATTTCCTCTCCCTAAACCATGGTATTGAAGTCACCTTGCTGTCATTAAAGGGAAAACTACCCTCACCCACATTTATTTATTTGTTTCATCTTACAGTTATTTTTTCCACAAAAATTATTTCCCTGTGCTGGTCCCATTTCCCCTCAACAGCACAAACGACGCAGCTCCCTGGTGTGAAACCATGATGATGCAGGGACTCCGGTGGATGCTGAGTCTCCGGAGGATGGCATAGAGGGGGTGGAGGTCTCATGTGCTGTCGTGCTTCCCCTTCCTGTCCCTTTAAACTATTAGAGCATATGAAAGAGCCTCCACTCCCTCGAGGACTGTTCCAGCCTCTCACAGTTTTGGGTTATTCCTTCCCCTGTGTTGGTTGTTTTATTTATTTTTTTAGGTGGGGGTGGATGGTGGTCTAGATAGTTAAGAAGTAAAAGTTTTATTTTTATATTTTATGCTAAATTTAACAAATAAATGAGGCTATAATATCTCTCGGGCGAAGGTATCTTAATTTTTACTTATTTATTTATTTATGTTTTTAATCCTCACCCAAGGATATTTTTCCATTAATTTTTTAAAATATATTTTTATCGATTGCAGAGAGGAAGGGAGAGGGAAAGAGAGATAGAAACATCAATGACGAGAGAGAATCATTGATCGGCTGCCTCCTGCATGCCCCCCACTGGGGATGGAGCCAGCAACCTGAGCATGTGCCCTTCATTGGAATCGAACTTGGGATCCCTTCAGTCTTCAAGCTGACACTCTATCCACTGAGTCAAATCAGCTAGCCCCTAGCTGCTAGGGCATCCATTGATTTTTTTTTTTTTTTTTAGAGAGAGTGGAGGAGAGGGAGAGAGAAACATTGATGTGAGACAAATCAATTGGTTGCCTCCCGCACACACCCTGCCTGGGGCTGGGGATTGAGCCTGCAATGGAGGTATGTGCCCTAGACTGGGAATCGAACCCTTGACTCTTCAGTCCTAGGGCCAACCCTCTAACCACTGAGCAAAATGGCCAGGGCCATCTTAATTTTTAGAACTTAGAGCAGTGACCACTCTGCTGGCCTTCAACAAAGCATGATACTGGGAGCCGACACACATGGTGTGCATTATGCAGATCAGCTACAACGCCAGCATTTGGGCTGATGCAAACTTTCCAAATCAAGTGTTTTTGCCAAAAGTGACAAACCTCCTTTCCCAGAGCATATCAGATGTTTACGGGGACGGGGGGGCCTCCTGCCATTCCCTCCCTGCCAGATCTTTCCTGCCAGGCCAGTGGTTTCTGCTACTACCCCTTCTTCCCTCGAGGTGTAATCTTCACCTCCCACATTAACTGTTGTTGTTTTTTTGTTTGTTTGTTTTTAACTGCACCCCAGGGATTAAGCCTCAAGCAGTTCCTTTCTTTGAGAAGTCCTGGCTGGTCTGCCAAGACCAGGGCAGCCTCAGAGGCCTCTCTTAAAAGGATGCAGCCATGCCCATTTATATCTCTGCAAAGCCCTTGCACATGTGAAAACTGCCTGCGCAAACATGTGTCAGAGCGGGTTTTCTTAGGCTTCAAGGCTGCATTTCTTGGCCAGAAGGAAAGTGGAATCTGCATACTTTCGAGTCTGAAACCTGAGAGAATCTTTCCTTGATCAATAGCTTGTTGGTTTAGTTCAGTCACATCGTCAATATTGTCGGCTCCAATTAAATGAGCATTTCCCCTGGACGCCCCTGCCTGGCCCCGGTGCCTTGTATTCAGAGCTGGCCATTGTGGCATTTCAGGGTAACGCAGGTGGCGAGTCAAATTAGGGAGAACCAGCGGGTTAGGGGAGCATGTCCGTTGTGATCCTGTGCTGCTGGCTTCCAGGGGTAAGGGAAGAAAACCGTGTTCTGAGCAGAGACTTAAACAGAAGCCTGCATTTTCTTCTCACTTCTCCCCGATCAGGGTTCTTTTCAGACTGTGTGAGCTGGAATCCTCGATCATGCTAAGTAGACAACCTGCATGACACATTCTAAGATTATTTTTCTTTTCTTTTAAAAAAATTATCTTTACTGTTGAAGGTATTACAGATGTCCCCCATTTCCCCCTCCATCCAACCCCCTCCCCAGGCCTTCACCACACTATTGTCTGTGGCCAGGGGTTATGCATATACTAGTATGTATATAAGTTCTTTGGTTGATCTCTCCCCACTCAGCCCCTCACCCCTGCCTTTCTTCTGAGATTCCTCAGTCTGTTCCATGCTTCTGTGTCTCTGGATCTGTTTTGTTCAACAGTTTGGTTTGCTCATTAGATTCCACATATGAGTGAGATCATGCGATATAAGATTCTTTTTCTTGTAAGATAGAGAATCATTTACAAATGGTTCTGAGGCCTTGTATGTGTGAACCTTTTTGGGAAGTTCTGAAAGAGCCATCAAAGCCTTAACTAAGTTATTTCTTTTTATACAAATCAAAATGGTATGGTCTGAGGGCCTAAGCAGTGGAGGGAGCAGGGCATGGTTGCCTGTTGGTTTTGCTGGCATTGAGCACACTGTTTTGACCTTTGGTTAGTTGGTTGGTGTTTGAATGACAGACCTTTCTTATGGAGGCAGTGATATTCATGACCCGGGTCACAGGGATGGGCAGGAGGAACCAAGTGATTAGTGCTGAAGGAGTGATACCCAGCAGACAAAAGGAAACACATGGATGTGGAGTTGGACCCCAGGTCATTGGACATCCATTTTATCTTGTGAACCTCATAGGTGAGATGTTTGGGGAACAGGTGTGTATGGAGAGCTGAACGGATATTACTGGGCTTTTAGGGGTCTGGGTGTTGGGTTATTTAAAATCAGAGCCTCAATGTGTCTAGAGAGAAAGATGCTGATCATTGAAGAAAGTCTTTAGATGTTGAAGCCCAGTGGCTCAGGAGTAGCACACATGTCAGCCCACCATTATAACAGAGAGACCAGGAAGGAGGTCTTTTAGCCAATGAAAACTGGCACCTTATTTTCCTGATGGAAGAGTCATTGAAATGCTTTCATTTCTAGTCATTTTCACGGGAGGTGGAGGTGAGTGTATGAACTAAGGTGGTGGTATAGGGCCTTGACCTCACAAGGCTGAGCCAGACGGCTTGGTTGTCTCCTGTTCTGCTGTGATGTCATCCCAGTGGGCGCACTTCATGATGCAGGCCTGTTTCACAGTCATCCTTGCCCTAAGTCGAGGTGTTGGAATGAGCTTAAAGAAGAGAAATGCCATAGCTTTGCTGTTTCTGTAGTAGTTTGTGATCCACACACCATGTGAAGATGCTAAAAAGATGTACATCGGAAATGCCATGCACAGGAACTACGCTGCGGTCTTTGCCCAGCTCATTGTGGTTGGACGGTGTTAAGGTTGGTCATCACAGAAAATGAGAATGATTCTCCTCACCATCACTGCTCCCCAGTGAGCGCTTGACCCTGAAAACACAAGCACAGTGCTGTATTTATCCTATATAATAAAAGTCTAATATGCTAAGTGTCCGGTCATCCCAGTCATCTGTTCAACCAAAGTGCAATATGCTAATGCTCAACTGATTGCTATGACATGCACTGACCACCAGGGGGCAGACGCTCAGACTGGTAGTTAGCTTGCTGCTGGGGACTGGCCAATTGGGGCCGAGCGAGATAGGCAAGACACAACCTGGAGCCATCCCAAGGCCTCTCCCCAGCTGGCCAACCTGCGTCCCTCCCTGGCCCCAATCGTGCACCGGTGGGGTCCCTTGGCCTGGCCTGCACCCTCTCACAATCCAGGAACCCTTGGGGGATATTGAAGAGTCGGTTTTGGCCCGATCTCGCAGGGACCCCACTGGTGGACGAATTTGTGTACTGGGCCTCTAGTCTTGTAATATTTGTGAAGATAAAATTGACCAGACATTTAGATGTTATACACTGTTATCTGTGATCAACTGTGTCTTGCCCCAGGAAGTTGTAAAGCTTTATTCCTATCTTTTTTTTTTTCTTAATGGTCACCTGAGGATATGTTTATTGATTTTTTAGAGAAAGAGAGAAACATTGATGTGAGCGAAAAACATTGATTGGTTGCCTTCTGTACGTACTCTAACCGGGGATTAAACCCACAACCTATGTATGTGTCCTGACTAGGAATTGAACCTACAACCTGTTTCATGAACCCACAACCTTTTTGGTGTACAGGGTGATACTCCACCAACTGAGCCACCAGCCACAGCTTTACTCCTGTCTTTAGAAGCATAGTTTAGTCACCATCTCTTCACCTTCCTTAGGGCCCCACTGCTTTATTGTTCCTGTCTGAGACGAAAATGGAAGCTTGTACCCAGGAGTGACTGTGGTTGATATGATGTACAAAGAAGGTGAGTCCCCAGGAGACTCCCTCCTGCCCTCATTGGCACTTCCTGCCTGCTCCCACCTGCCTGAGGAGAGTCCAGCCCAGCTCTCCCAGACGGTGAGGCAGGAAGACTGACTCTGAGGCCTGGTTAGAGTCTGTACAGGCTAGAGAGCATCGAGGGGTGCCACTTACACATATGCATTGGTCTTGTTTCCTCCCAGCCTCTGATGCCTATTGAGGAGGCAGCTCTGCCCTGAGTGGTATCGTCCCCTCTCCTTGGACTTATGAGCTCTCAGGGGCAGGTTAAGGACTCTCTTTCCTGCCCCTGAGCCCCAGCTTCTGGTGCTGGTGCCCACAAGGCCCCTGATATGTCCTAAGCTTGTCTCCATAGACTAGTGTTGGAGGCTACAAGTCTGAGATCAAGGTGTGGGCAGGGTTGGTTCCTTCTGAGGCTGCGGAAGGGTCTGCTCCAGGCCTCTGTCCTTGGCTTATAGGTGTCTTCATGTTCACATGATGTTCTCCCATGTGTGTCTGTGTCCAAATTTCCCCCTTTTACTAGTATTAAGGACACCAGTCGCTAATGGCCTCATTTTGAGTTGTTTACCTCTGTGAAGATCCCATCTCCAAAGAAGGTCTATTCACAGGTGCTGGGGGTTAGAACTCCAACGTACGGATTTGGGGACACGCAGTTCAACCAATAGTACTCGGTGGAGGGGGGCCACTCTGTGGGCTTTACTGGTCATCCCCAGCCAAGATCAAGCCAAGCCAAGAAACAGATGGGGGAGGACGAAAAAAAAAACGAGAGAGAGAAGAAAGGGCAGGGAAAGAGAGGAGGGAAGAAGGCAATCCTTTGGTGGAGGGGTGGTCTTACCCCTGCCCCTTCAAGTGTTTCAACCACTGAGCACTGGGCACTGCGAGGCCACAGGACTGGGCTGCAGGTGTGTCTGCGAGAGCTTTGCATGTGTCCCACAGGAACCAGGACCAAAGGCCTGGCTGGCCCTGCCTCTGACAGCGCCCCCATGTCAGTGTTACTGAGAGCAGGGGCTGGCCCTCGTGAGGTGGGGCAGACACTGAAACACCACCACCTCAGAAAGCCTGCGTGGTGTCCTGTGAGCTCCCAAATTCAAGTGTGTCCTTGTCCAGGGCGATGTTCTAAATCGAGATGTTCTCCCCCCAGACTAAGCCTTCCCAGGGTGGGTGAACAAGTGGACCCAGCTCCGACATGTCATGAGGAAGTGGGTTGGCAAGTTTCAGAAGGCTGCTGATGGTCCGGTTGCCCACCCACCCACTGCTATCCTGGTCCTTGTGGCCATCTTCCTTGTCTTTTAGGCATTTGCTTAACACATTTGCCCATCTGTTGGGATGGAGGTTTCGGGAGGGAGAGGCACCCATGTTCTGTGCTCCTGGGGGAGTCAGGGCTTTCCTCCCCTCTCTGTTCTGTCTGACATTCTTTCTGTTGCCTGGAGCATGCCCTTTCCCATCACAGCAACTGCTCAGATAGGCAGGCGTGGCCCCAGAGACCCCACCCGAGCCCCAGGAAGGCACAGCCATTTAAGGTAACAGCAAAAAGCACCCCCAACCCCCAGCCCCCACACAGTGCATGGCACTTCTGGAAAGGGCTTTGCATTTGTGTGGAGCGGGGCCTGGGAGTAGCAGGGCCCGCATTTCTGAGGCTGGTGTGGATTCGCCCTGCAGCTCCATTTCTTTTCTGCTCTCTCTAGGTCCACCTGGTGTGGATAATGGAATTTTAATATTTGCCGAGGTTCGGATACCAAGGGACAACCTGCTGGATCAGTGGGTGGTTCCTCCTTTCCTCATTTCCTGTGTGTGTGATCTCATTGCTCCCAGCCTGGGCCTGGCTCTTGGCCTCCTGGGCTGCAGGTCAGGGCTTTGTTCTCATTACCACTCCTGCTCGGCTGTTGACAACTAACTGGAAAGTGCAGATAAACAAACAGGAAAAAATTAAAGTGGTCCGAGATGCTATTACCCTGACACAGTGTGTGTCATACTATAACATATAACTTTTTAGACTTTTCTCCATGGTGATACGCCTATCTAAAGAGAGAAATATCTTTGAGATTACTGAATGAGATCCTCTTATGAATTCTTCTTTATAACTTTAATCTCTGCTTCACCTTATATGTCAGATGCTTCTGTGAATAGTAAACACACGTGCCTGATCACTGATAACACTGCTGTGAAAGACTGTGAAATAAATGATCTATGACTTATGTACTCAGTCGCTATTGTTCGGTATTTAGGGTGTTAGTGTCTGCTTTGCAGGAGGTAGGACACTACCTTTCCGTGTTGCAGGTGATAAAACGAGCGCTGCTGGGTGGATACTGTCACAGGTGCTCAGGGCCACTGCCCAGCTTCCCCGGGTGCAGCCCAGGTAGTTAGACAGTGAGGTGAAGGCGGCTTCTCCAGCCGTGGTCCGGGGCTCACAGCGCTCTTCGCAGAGGCTCAGAAACACCAGTTCCTTTCCTTTCCTCGGCAACATTTCCTGTATCCAGTTAAAATCCTGGACCACAGCCACATTTAAATCTGTAAAAAGGCCCGCAGTCAGGCTTGCTCCTGCTTTCCTATGGATTTTCCTTTTGCACTTCACTCTTTTTTGTTGCTTGCAAGTTCTTGTCAGCAGATAAATGTCATGGATGACAAAAGTTTAATAAAAATGTGAGGGAAACAGACTTAAATGGACCCAATTCTGTTTGTTAACCCCCTGCCCACAGCCCTTGAATTGCTTGGACGTAACAAAGGCTTCTTTGCAGCTTCCCCTGGTGCAGCCCTCAGGCCCCAGGCGCTGCCAGTGCCCATGACCCCAGATGCCTGCACATTTCCTGATCACTATGGCATCACTCCACTGGGAGATGGGGTGGAGGGCAGCAGAGCTACAGGTGTGAGCTCTCCCTGCTCCTCCTCCCTCACGGGGCCTCAGTGGCCTGGACAGCCCTCTCCCAGAAGCTGGACCCACTGGCTTAGCATTCATCTAATGCACCAGAGATTAGAAAGTAGGTTAGACCAGAAAGAAAAGTGATAGGAAGCTACCTAGTCCGTAGAAGATAGGAGCATACATAGAATACTCTTTGGTAAGTAAGATTTGATTTTAAAGACATTCCATGGACATTTAGGCTTCCTTCGTCCCCCTACCCCATACATATAGTACAGAACAGCAGCAGCAACACAGATGTTTTGTGGGAGGCATTCCACTTTGGGGATGCTGGTTTATCACTTGATCAAAAATGGGTCAGTAAATAGACAGAATGAAATCACGATCAAAATCACAGTTGCCTTTTTTTCTGCAGAAATTAAGAAATGATCCTAAAATTTGTATGGAAATGTAAGAGACAGAATAGTGGTAACAATCTTGATAAAGAAGAACAAAGTTGGTGGACTCACACTTCTGATTTGAAAATGTACTACAAAGCTATAGTAATCAAGACAGTATAGTATGGACATAAGGATATACATCTATCTATCTATCTATCTATCTATCTATCTATCTATCTATCTATCTACACAGTGGATTAGGAAAGAGAGTGTAGAAATAAACCCTTACATTTATGGTCAATTGATATTCAACAATGGTGACAAGATAGTTTAATGGGGAAAAAAGTCTTCAACAAACGTGCTGGGACAACTGAATATTCACATGCAAAAGTATAAAGTTGGATCTTTACCTCGTACCATATATGCAGATGAACTCAAAATGGATCATAGATCTAAGTGTAAGAGCTAAAACTATAAAACTCTTAGAAGAAAACATAGGTGTAAATCCTTGAGACCTTGATTTAAGCAATGATGTATTATTAGATGTGATACCAAAAGCACAAGCAGTCGAAGAAGAAATAGATAAGTTGGACTTGATCAAAATTAGCAAACTTTTATGCTTAAAAGAAAGACAATTCACAGAATGGGAGAAAATATTTGCAGATTATGTATATCATGAGGCTCTACTATCCAGAATATAAACGGAATTATTATAGACCCACAATGAAAAAGATATATGACCCAATTAAAAAATGGGCAAAAATCTAAATAGGTGCTTCTCCAAAGAAAATATACAAAAGGCTAATAAGCATATGAAAAGATGCTGAACATCATTGTTGTTAGAGAAATGCTAATGAAACCACATTGAAATACCACTTCACACCCACTGTAGTCTCTCTAATAAAAGAGACAATGATAACAAGTATTGGCAAGGATTTAGAGAAATCAGAACCTTCATACATTGCTGGTGAGATGTAAGATGGTTTTGCTGATTTGGAAAAGACTGACAGTTATTCAAAACTTTAAAGGTTTCATATGACCCAGCAATTTTACTCCTGGGTACATATGAAAACACTGTCTACAAGGGAATTGAAAATGTCTGTCCACATAAAAACTTGTACACAAATGTTCATAGCATAATTATTCATAACAGCTAAAAACGTAGAAACAACACAAATATCTATAAACTGATGAATGAATAGACAAAATATGGTAGGTCCATACAATGGAATATCATTTTGGCCATAAATAAGAATGAAGTCCTTATATACACGCTACAACATACATGGAAATTGAAAGCAGTGTGCTAAGTGAAAGAAGTAGACACAAAAGCCACATGTTGTGGGATTCCGTTTACATGAAATGTCCAGAATAGACAAATGCTTAGAGATAGAAAGTAGATCAAGGTTGTTGGGACCTGAGGGTGCGGAGTATGGTGTGGGGCTTCTTTTTGGGGTGATGAAATGGTTTGGAATTAGATAGTGACAATGATTGTACAACTTTGTGAATATACGAAAAACCATTGAATTGCACACTTTAAAAGGGGGCGTTATGGTGTGGATTATATCTCAACAACTCTCGGGGCTTTATGGACAGTGTTCACTCTCAGGCTCTGGTGTTGGGTTGATGATAGCGGTCCTCTCGCCTGTCTTTGTCAGGGCCACTGCCGAGCCCCAAAACCTGCTTTTCCTTGTCAGCATCTCCTGGGGAGGCACCTGCCCTGCTGACTCCTGAGTGAGGACATGAGACTTCCACTGTGGGCAGGGGGGAGCTGCCTGACCTCCTTGCTGGGGGTGCCATGTTCTTCTCTTTTGTTAACACACCTCTCTTTCCACTGCCTCTCCCCACCACAGGTTTGGGTCTGTGACCCAGATGGGCAGTACCATTCCCCTATTAAGAACAAGAGTGCAAGATTCAACCCGATGCTGCCAGCACTGATCCCTTTGAGATCAGTGGTGACTTTCCAGGCTATCGGCGCCATGAAGGTAGCTGACGCTCATTGAACTTACCTCACTCTTCATTCTCTGCATGTCCTGGGGGTGATAATTCCAGGAGCTGAGCTTCCTGAGCCACAGTTGGCGTAAGATGGTCAGTCACTAGGTAGAGACCAAGAGTGCCAGTTGGCCACATAGAACATTCCCGCACACTGTTACCACGGGGTCTGCCCGTTCATCTGCAGCCAGCTGTGTGTTGCTGATCACGGTGCGGACATATTGCACTGCGGCAAGAGAGCCACAGAAGGTGTCTCTGGGAGAATGGCTGGTTCGGAACAAGCAGCCCGAGCTGCCCCGTGTAGATGAGGCTGGCAGAACTTGGCTGAGTCCACAGGGCCATTTGGGGTGTGGCATCAGCACTGCAGGCTGGAGTCTGTGAGGTCAGACCCCCAGAGGCCTTTTCTGCCTCCCCTTCCCCCACCCTCCATATACTGGTTTGGAAAGAGTGGCCAGGAGAAAAAGTTCTGGAAGACCCCCTCCTCACCCTCAGGACTCAGCACTGTGTTCTCTGAGTCCTCTCTGTCTCTTTGCATGAGGGAAAAGCCTGCTTCGAGCTCCACTGAGCTTGGTGAAGCTGGAAAGAAATGAAGATGCCCATCGATACACATTGGTGGCTTGATCCAGCGTTGCCATCAACAAGGAATACATTTCATTCACCTGATTCCAGGCCTGACATCAGCACACAGTCGTCTGAATAGTAGGAAGATTCTTCCTTAATCACTTCTCCCAGGTCTGTCCTGGAAGCCTGCCAGACACCAACCCTGTGTGCCACCCTTACCGCCAGCGGGCACAGCTGTGATGCTGAAAACCTGCTCAGTGCCAAGCCAGCGACTGACGCCCACCTTGGGCACTGCCCCTGCGCCTGTGTTTCGGTGGCTCTTGAAGTGGGTGAGCGGATGTGCAGCTTTGAGGTCCCGCATGGGGAGTGGCTCAGCTGCTCTCCTGGCTGAACCGTCCGAGGGATGAACGAGGCCCCAGGAGAAGCTTGTCATGCAGGCACAGGGTGAGGCCAGGGCGCCCACAGGGTGTCTAATGCTGAGGAAACCGACTTCGTGCCTGTGATAGAAGCTGCTTCAGGACACCAGAGAGAGGCAAAGGGAGAGAAGCCAGATGAGCCCGTGATGCACCATAGAGAAGGTGGGTCAGAAGTCTGCACAGGAGTCTTTGTCACAGTGGCCTCCACACCCTGTGAGGAGCTTGGAGAAAAGCACAGTGGCTACTGTGGGGAGAGGGTGGCAGAGTCCAGTGGGGCAGGTGTAGGGAGGTGGGTGGCCTCCCAGCAAAGAGCTGATGTGAAATATCCCAGGTCTGGAGCAGTGGCGTGGGTGCAGGTAGGGGGGACAGAATGGGTGATTTTTAAAAGGCAGCATTCTCCAGGCTCCGGGCCATCATTGAGGGGCCAGCCCCTGCCGACCCCAGAGGCTCTTCCAGGGCCACACTGCCATCAATTCCCTGTTGGGCGTCTGACACGCGTGCTTCATTCCCGGCAGAGTGGAGGCCTTCTCCCGACCGTGGGCTCTGAAGCCAGATACCCTGGGCTCCAGTTTCAGCCTGGACGTGACCAGCAGTGGGTTCATGGGCCAGTCAGCAGCTCTCTGCCTCAGTTTCTCCTTCTGTAAAATGGGCTTTCCTCTAATGTGAGGCACAAGTGGGGGTGCTGTGCTGGTGTAGAGCAAGTGCTCTACAGCTCAGTGCTCTTACCGAAGTGGCACTGGTGCTGCTGGTGCTGCTGCTGCTGATACTGGGAAAATTGGACTTGCCTGTAGGGAAGGACTAAATGGACTTTTCCAGGAAACAAATGCCTGGATCCTGGCCTCCAGGTATGAGGCAATCTGATGTGTCTACAGAGGCGCACGATGTCTTAGATTCTTGGGCATCTGAAGCAACAATGACCCCCCCCTCCCCCCGTCACCTGCCCTGTCCAGGAGGTGGATTTGCCAAGTGGTGGGAGACCCCTGGCAGAGCTTGGCAGACCAGGACTCTGCACGCTTGACCCTGATGGACAGCAACGCTGGCCACTGTGACCTCATCGCCAGCGTCTGGGAGGATGATCTCACCAGCCCTCTTGGCAGCTCCTCCTCTCCTGTGGCTCAAACATATGACAGATGTTCTCTGGGCTGAAACCTGAGCCGGTCCTGCTCGTTCTGCTCTCACTGATGAGTGAAAAAATGGATCCCTTTCTCCGACGTGCATTCCTTGTGTATTAGAAAACTGTCACCGCGGCTCCCCACAGTGACACTCATTCAAGGCTGAGCATACAGGGTCCTTTTAAACTTTGCCCAGATGTCTTACTTTTCATGGTTATCTCTCATTTCCATAACATTTCTCAGTACTTTCAGATTTTCTCCTCAAGGCTTGCCATAATAGCCGTCCTCTAATTTATGTCCAAAATGCCATGTCAAATTAAATGATTAGCAGGAAAAAAAGGACCAGGAAACTAAGATGTTTGGCAAGGGTGGAGGGTGCGAGTGGAGAGGCCGGGCAGCCCTTTCCCAAGGAGGAAGGAGGCTGGGAAGTCACCCTGAGTTAGGAGGCTGAAGTAGAGGGAGTGTGAAATGTCAATGAATTAGCCTGTTGTTTTCTCTGAAGAGTCTCCTTAATCTTTTATTTTATTATTATTATTATTATTATTCTAATCCTCACCCGAGGATATGTTTTACTGATTTTAGAGAGAAGGGAGAGGGAGAGAGGGAGAGAGAAACATTGATTGGTTGCCTCCTGCCTGCGCCCCCACTAGGGCCGGGATGGAACCTGCAACCCAGGTACATGCCCTTGACCAGGAGTCTAACCCGAGACCTTTCGGTGAGAGGGCCGCTGCTCTAACCACTGAGCACCTGGAAAGATTCTTAGCAGAGGCAAGTGCTCAGTACATGTTCTTGTGCCCTTCACCCAACCCTCATTCACCCCCATAGTGACTGGGAAGAAGGACGTTCTTACCTCTTCCTTCCAAGTCTAAGCAGCCCCTGGCCCAGAACAACAGGCCTTCTTCTCCCTTCCTCTCTGTGGTCCTGCCCCAGGCACTACCCTTCACGTCGACTTCATAAGCACGTGCTCACACACGTGCTCTGTGAGGAGGCCTGTGGTTGCCAGACTCTGCCGGGTGCAGGTGGGATCAAGGCGCTGGAGGTCAGGGCGCTGCCTGGGGGCGTGCACCTCATGCAGTGCACCGGTGACACATGGGGCACCCTGCAGGGTCCACATGTTGAGTAAGGTCAGGACTGCCTCTAGGCCAGTGGCCGGCAAACTCATTAGTCAACAGAGCCAAATATCAACGGTACAACGATGGAAATTTCTTTTGAGAGCCAAATTTTTTAAATTTAAACTATATAGGTAGGTACATTGTTATTAACTTAATTAGGGTACTCCTAAGGCTTAGGAAGAGCCACACTCAAGGGGCCAAAGAACCGCATATGGCTCGCGAGCCGCAGTTTGCTGACCACGGCTCTAGGCAGGTGGGGTGTGGGAGGCGGGAACACCCATCTGGTGCGGGGCCCAGGGACTGAGCAAATGATGTCCACCCGGGCGGCAGCCAGAAAGCACCATTTCAGGTCTTCTCATTTCTTTGAGGGAGATGATCAGACGGACCTTTCTTGTTTCAACAGCTTTTGGCAAGTCTGTCACCTGCCTGGTGAGATCCTGGTGGTGTGGAGAGACTCAGATCCCTCTGGGGCTGGGCTGTTGGCCCGGGGACCTAGGAAGGGGCAGCAGGAAGGGTCTTCGGGCCTCCCAGGCCATGGTCCAGCCTGCAGAGGACAGATGCTGGGAGTTCAGGTGACTATCCTGTCAGGTGAGGCCACCACTCCCAGCTGTGGGCAGGAAAAAGACCTCACCAGGGACAGGCTCAGGGCCTGCTGCTGTGGGTGGTGGGACACTATGGTGGAGTGGGCCTGGGGCTACTTTCAATTTCTCTGAGCTTTAGTTTTCTCATTGCTAAAAATGAGGCAAAAATAGTCATCTCATGGAGACATTGTGAAAATTCAATGAGTTGACGTGTCTCTTTAGCAGCACTATTATGAGCGGATAATATTTATTGGGCCCTTACTATAAGCCATTCCTGTGAGAAGTGCTTTACAGATGTTAACTCATTTCCATTGGATACCCATGCACCTTACATCTGGGGGAAACTGAGGCATGAGAAATACAAGAATTTGCCTGAGGTGGGCACAGAATACACAGAATATGTGGCCTTTGACCCTGGTTAAGGGAGTAGATGGCTCCATGTTGTGTAGATAAGATTGACATGTAGCTATTATTGAAAGATGGGCTAGAGGTAAGTAGGAACAGAAGCAGCCTGTCCAGCACATGTGTCCCTGAGCTGCAAATTACCTGAGTTACATCTTTGAGTCCTGGAGGCTGAGAGCCGGCCAGCGAGCCCTGGAGCAGGAAGCACCTCGCGTGGCATTCACCAGGACTGCAGCTGGTAGGAGCCGTGCTCCTCCTCACCACCTTGCCCCAGTGCCCAGTGCCGGGCCAGGCCCAGGGAAGGGGCCCCATGCCATGTGGTTCTGGTGACACAGGTGAGATCAGCATGCCTGGAAACAGATGGCATGTGTGCCTGCTCTGGACTCCACAGCGAGGCCACGAATGGCAGGCACTTTGGAAGCAGTCTCTCTGGACTTGCATCCTGCCTCTGCATGGCCCAGGCTAGGGATTAAAGCTCCCCAGGCCTCTGGACATACTGACAGCACTCCCTCAAGGAGCTGTAGGAGGGCCCGAGAGAGTTGGTACCTGTGCCTGCATCTACTAAGTCACCCATTCATGTAGGCTGTCACTTCATTACAAGGGATGTGGGCCTTTATACAATGAAGTCCAGGTATACGGAGGTTGTGAGGATAAACAGTGTTTGCAACACATGCTCATTCTCGATGGTGGTAGCTACTTGGAGCTGGGGGTGGAGAACTGGGAGGCTGAGTCTGGATGCAGCTGAAAAGTGGCCAGATGTGTGTGTGGGATGGGATGGGAGCAGTGGAGTCTATGCCGTGTGGCTTTTC